GGGGGGGGGGGGGGGCGTTGTGGGGAGCAGGGCTTTCCCCCCTGCTACTCCAGGCCACAGCCCACACCCCACACTGTAATTCCTGGGTCCACTACTCTGGACTCATCCTCCATCCTTCCCATCAGGGGTCAAGATAGACCCCTCAGCTCAGAGCTCCCTGGAGACCTGCTGTGTGGCCCTGGCCTGGTGCTGGCCCTCTCTGCGCCCTGGCTCCTTCTCTGTGGTCCAGGAAAGGATCTAGAGGCCCCTGAGGGAAGTGATGCGGAAATCTCAGCCTGCAGCCTCTAGCCAGCCCAGAGTCAAAGTCAGGCACAAGGCCAGGACAGCCCCGCCCCAGGGGCTGGCCCAGCCTTCGACATTTCATAACGGAAGGGCAGCTGGGTAGAGCAGGGCCAACCAGGAGGAAGGGCAGCTTCGCAGGGCCTCAGGTACGGTGTTCTGCAGAGGCTGGGGATATAGCAGTGAGCAGTCAGGGCCAGGGACCCACTGGCAGGTTGGCTTGGGCACTCTGGGTTGCTGTCAGTCCTGGAAAGCCTGGCCACTCCCGGCCACGCACAGGGACTAGCTTTGTCTTCTCAGAGCTTCTCTGCGCACCTGAGGAGAAAGGGGAAGGGGGAAGGGAGTTCCCTTTGCCCCAGCCTAAGAGAGCAAAGAGAGAGGCCAAGAATCCCCGCTCTGGACCGGCACCCCTGTCCCTGGGGGGGTGGTCAAGCATCCATTTGGCAACACATTTCCTGGGCAACTGCCACGCATGCCCGCTGCTGGGGTGGGCTATGCAGCGAGCGGTTCTGAGCGATCGTGTTCTTGGGAATGGACTCTGCCAGGGTCCCGGAAGGAGAGACTTCACCAGCATCAGGCAGCTGGTGGCATAGCCTCTCCGTGCGGTGGGGTGGGGGTTGGCTTGGCCCACAGCCAAGGGTTGGTCCCCAGCTCCCCACACCCGCCATGGAAGGGAGGGGGCTGCTCCCCAGAGTTTGGGAGACCTTGTAAAAATCCAGGTTAAGGCTACACGGGGCACGGAGGGGAGATCAGATTGGAGACCCTAGGGTACTGGGACCTGCAGAGCCTTCGAGGCAGCCCCGTGCCGTCCACCTTCTGACAGCCTGATGCGGGTCCCCTGGACCCTCAGACCACCAGGTTCACCTCTGTCACTCTTCCCAGCCCCGTATCCCTGCCCCCACCTGGGTCTCAAGGTGATGTCCTTGCCTCCCTGGTGTCTACACTGGGCCAAGGTCTCCTCGGGTTCCCACCCCAGGGTCTCCTCCCCAGGACCCCCCAGCACAGCTGTACTTTGCCGTCTGAATAACCATCGTTCAGAGCCGTCCTCACTGAGCACTCACGGGGCTTGGCCCTGCCCCAAGCACTTCACAGCACTGTGGGGTACCTACAAGACACCATCCCTATTGCACAGATGGGTAGAGTGAGCCACAGAGAAGCCAAGCCACCTGCCCAAGTTCTCCTAGCTAATAAACAGAGTTGCTGGGATTTGGACCCAGGTCCTCAGGCCCCCGACACATCATACAGAGGGTGCTCTTAGAAGGCCTGTGGTATAGACAGGGAAACCGAGGCAGAAAGGATGAGAGGGTGGGCAGAGGTGGGGGCTGGGAGGTGGCTCATCCGCAGGACCAGCCAGGGCCCAGGGACGGGGCTCGGGCAGCAGCTGTTTCTTGATGATGATTTGGAGGCAGCAGACCTGAGTGCCCACCCCTTTTGTCACCCTCCTCGATGCCACATGACCTGGGCCTCAGCTTCCTACAGGGGTGCCATCCAAAAGCCATGCTGCACTCACATCAGGCACCCATGCTGGCACAGTGCCTGGCACAGTCAGTGCTTAGTCACTATTATTATTATTATTATTATAGAATCCCCAGGTTCATGGCCTTGAGGGAAGGTGGCTGGCCCTGGGGCCCGGGGAACCAGGCCCACCCCTTGTCACATAAATTGACTTAGCAAACCCCAGGGAGGTGGGCTTAGGGCCCCCAGAGCACCCGATGAAGGACCCCCCCTCATTTGTGTGTCCACAGTGGCTGCTCAGCTCCCTTGTGGGGTCAAAGGCCAGGGGTCCCCCCAGGTCCAAGACAGACTTGCACATCTGCTTACCTGGGTTGAGTCCAGTTCCCTGCCCTGCAGCAGTCACCCCTTGGGGCCTCAGTCCTGACCAAAGTGCAATGTGGTGTGAGCTGGCCTCAGTGTTGCCAGGAGAGGCTGCTGGAATGTTCCAACCAGACCTCCACCCCCGCAGAGCTCCCCACCCCACACTGTACTCGGAGATGCCCTATTCAAGTGACGTGCCTTACATTTTTGTGGGTTCTGCAGGCTCTTAGGAAAGTGCAAAGAACCCTGTGGAGGCGGGAGGGGGCGGGTGTGGTTCGCCCTCAGCGCCCATCAGCAGGAGTCTGAAGGTGAGGGGGGAGGGGGCAGGAAGGGGGATAAATATTTGCTGAGTTCTTGGTGACAACAACCACAGCTGACCATTATCAAGCTCTTACCATGCACACAATGGCCGGAGCTCCATGTGGTGGAACGGTAGCATCCCCTTTTTACAGGCATGGAAACTGAGGCAGGGAAAAGATGAGTGACTTGCCCAAGGTCACACAGCCAGAGAGGCAGGGTCAGGGTTTGAGCTCAGGTGGCAGCTTTGGGGGTCAGCAAGTCTCCTGGCTCTTGGGTCTCTGGCCAGTATGCCTTCCTCCCTAGAGGAGGGTTGGAGCTGGGGACAAGCCTGGAGTGAGAGGGGCTCTGATGATGTCCCTGTTCTGCTACAGTCACCCTCTCTGGGGGATGTGGTGCCCACCCTGTGCCCGAGACAACTGCCCCGTTTCTCCTGATCAGAGTAGGAGGCCTGTGGGGTCAGTTTGGACCCCATGATGTCTATGGGGACAGCGTAGGGCTCCAGCAGGCTCTCAGCACAGAGTGCCCATCAGGGCAGGCCATCCTGTTGGCTGGAACAACTTAGCGCCGTGGTGGCAGTAGTCACTTAACAATAATTGACAACCCTGAGGGCACTGACGCCCTGTCCTGGGCTTAGAACTGGCCAGCATGGTCTCATCCTTGACAAACACCCATCAGGTGGTAGGTGGAAGGGTGACCTTAACAGATGAGGAGATTGGGGCACAAAGCCCCAAATGATAAGTTAAGTAGGCAAAGAGGGGTCCTGCTGCCCAGTCCAGTGGGAGAGGAAAGAGAGGGATAGGGAGGCGGGGCAGGGAGGTGGACAGAAGGAAACCAGGTATTTATCACAAGGTATGACCCAGTGCGGTGGGGCGCAGAGCCAAGGGCCCACTGTGAGAATGTGTAAGGGAGTAATCATGGTGGGCTGCCTGAAGGAGGCATCAGCCAAGCAGAGACCAGAAGAGAAGTGAGTCAGAGAGAGGAGGAGGAAAGGGTCCCCACAGGTCCTTGGCACCAGGCCGAGGACTAAGTGCATCAGAGAGCTCCTCTGATGAACTTCAAGTAAGCAGGCAGGCGCCCGGGGGAATGTCAGAGCCCCTACCTTGCCTGCCAGCCCTGGCTGATGACAGCATGGAGGTCTGACTGCCCTCTCACCCCTCACCCCTCAGCATTCCCTGCTTCTCCAACACTGTGGCCGATGGGGCTGGGATGGGCAGCAGGGCCTCTGGGAGGTGGGGTTCTTTCCCCGTCTTGCTGAGGAGCTGGGGCACAGGGAGAGGAGTCCTGTCACCCAGCCCTCTGAGCCACCACCAGCCAGCCTGGCCACCCTGGGCAGGGCCCCCAGGCTGGGGACAGTGGGAACAGAGCATTCGTGTTGGGAATGTCCCAAAGTGGTGGTTGGTGGACTCTGCCTCTAGTTACCAAACTTCCCCTGGTTACTCCACTCAGACCTGCTGGGGTAAGAGCTACCCGTCTCCAGGAGGGGCACCGGAGTAGGGTGGGGGCCACAGCTTAGGGCTAATTCCCGGGTGGCAGGAAGAAGGGTGAGCCCCTGGCTCCCTGCTCATTCTTAGGGGCCACGGAGTAGCTGTCCCCAAGCCCACACCCAGTCCCGTGACTGCCTTGGGGTCCAGAACCCTCCAGCCCACTGGTTAAGAGGTGTGGTCTGTAGCTCTGTCAGTGGGTGTCCAAGTGTGCCCCTTGCGTGTGTGTTTGTGTGTATGTGTAGGTGGGGCAGCCCTGGTCCCTGGGCTTACGTGTGAGCCCCCATGGGGGTGCCCGTGGGCCCACGCGGGTGCAGGCAGGGGTGGTGGAGGGCGCCTGGAGATGGGGCGCCCCGGCTCACGCTGCCCCGCCTGGCAGGATGGACCCCTTCGCGGACACGCTGCAGCGGCTGCGGGAGGCCTTCGGCTCGGGGTGCACGCGGCCGGCCGAGTTCCGGGCTGCCCAGCTGAAGGGCCTGAGCCGCTTCCTGCAAGAGAACAAGCAGCTTCTGCAGGAGGCGCTGGCGCAGGACCTGCACAAGGTGGGTGGGTGGGTGGGGGACAGGCAGCGGTAGGAGGAGGAGGGCAGGGGTGGGGAGGTTGAGACAGGGGGGATGGGGACAGCTGCATCCTCCATGAAGGGGGAACTAAAAGCCGTCAAACCCCACCTCCTTTCCTGTGCCGTAACCTCTCTTCTGCATTCACCCATTCATTCATTTCTTCATTCGCTCCACTACTATTTTTTTCTTATTTTTGGCTGTGCAGTGCAGCTTGTGGGATGTTAGTTTCCCAACCAGGGATTGAACCCGTGCCCTTGGCAGTGAAAGCGCGGAGTCCTAACCACTGGACCGCCAGGGAATTCCCCCACTCCACTACTCTTTATTGAACACTTACTATGGGCCCGGTACTGTTGTAGGCTCTGGGGATACAACAAATAAAACAAAGTCCCTGTGTCCAGGGAGCTGGCCTCCTGGGGAGAGACACAACTAGACAGTAAATACACAGCATGTTGGATGGTAATGAATCCCATGGAGAGACACTCCCAGTGTGAAGTGGGTGAGAGAGGGCCAGGGTCAGGGTGCGGTTTTGTATGTGGGCGTCAGGGAAGGTTTCTCTGAGACAGTGGCGTTTGAAGGAGGAGGGGGAAGTATCCACGTGGACAAGGAGGGAAACAGCAGAGGGCACAGCATGTGCAAAGGCCCTGAGGCAGGAGGTGCTTGGTGTATTTGTGCTTGAGGAGCAGCAAGGAGGCCAGAGTGGCTGAAGGGGAGTGGAAGAGACAGAGGTATGCAAGGGATGAGGTCCAGGGAGCTGGGTCACACCGCTAGGGCCGCTTGTAGAGCACTTCTGCTTCACTAGGTACCATGGGCATCATGGCCTCTGTCCAAAACCTGGAGGCCTGGGGGCTCAGCCCCTCCCATCTCCAGCAGCAGCCACAGCAGGATCTCAAGAATTACACTTCCTTGTAGGCAGCCTTCCACCGTCTCAGCCAGCAGGGCCCACCCATGTGGCTGCCACTGCCCTAGGACAACTGTCCAGGGGCTTCTTCTCTGGACAAAATGTCCCTTGAGCTTTTGCCACAAAGGCCACAGTGCCCAAGCTCACCCCTGACGCCCCACTGGCCCCTCACCACCTGTAACTCTCCAAGGCTGTGACTCTTTACCAGCTGGTAAGGTGCTGTTTTGATACTTAACACCCAGGACAGGCCCACGGTGCATATTGGCTGCCGGCCAGCCCCTGTGGTCACCACTTGTCCCCAGGGGGCTGCAGCAGTCCCACACTGGCTCATGCTGAGCGCTGAGCTCATCTCCCCAAACCTCCTGAGCCCATGAGCAGAACCCTGGGGTCATCCCTTTCTGCCCTCCTGCCTCCCCTGCCCTTCCGGTGGACCTGCTGGCTCCACCCAGGTCATGAAAGAAATGCTGGCACTGGCAGGCCTGGGAGGCTGTCTGCAGCCTCCTTGGGCCCCACCTGATTTGCAGGCACCCAGCCAGGTGTCCAGAGCAGTCACAGACTTCGAGACTAGTATCTCGTGGCACCTGGGGTCATAGATCAGGGCACCCCCGTTCACGGGGGCAGCAAAAGCTGGCCACAAGGACGTGTCCTGAGGACGTGGCCTCCTAGTGACGCCTACTCCCCTTCTCAGGGTCCTCAAACCTTCTATTTATCACCATGCTCCAGGACTGTAGCCAGGTGAGACCCGGGCTCCCTCGTCAGCCACTTCTGGAATCATCCGCTACCCCATTTATGAAACCAGGGCACCGGGTCATACTCTCCTTGGCTCTCTGACACCCAAGGGGCCTGGCTTTGCCTCCCTGTGGGGAGTGTCCATTCACTGGACCTGGTCCAGGACAGAGGGGGCTCACACCCCCTACCCTGGCATGTCAGGCTCCCTGGGGACTGACACCCCACTGAGCCTCTGCCCAGCCCACCAGCTGACCTGGCCTGGCTGCCTCCGTGAGACCTGACCCGATGGTCTGTCCCATCCCTGTTCTCCCTATGGCTCAAATTTCACCTCCTGCCTGCAACCCTCAAGCCTCCAGGAGCCCAGAAAATCCAATCTGGTCCCGGCCTCTGGTCTGGTCCCTCCCTCTGGGCCCGGCCAGCCCTGTCCCCCACCCTCCCAGCGGGCAGCATCTGCCCTGTCTGACCTGCACAAATCCTCCCACTTAACCCCCAACAGCCCTTCCAGGTAGAGGTGGTCACACCCAGTCACCTGCAGAGGAGACTCAGAGAGGGCATGTTCTTGCCTAAGGGCACAGAACCCTGGCTCAAAGCAGCCTGACTCTTCCAACCCCCTGGCATTCAGCAGCGTCCAGATAATCCCTTAAACGGGCCCAAACCTCAGTCAGCTCACAGGAGACCTCGCTGGGCAGGAGTGTGCGCTGGGGACACAGACATAGTAGAAGGCATGCCTGAAGCAGGCTCAGCTCCTAGAAGCGCTGGTGGGCGTGGCTTCTCCCCCCAAGGTCCCTGCACCCTCCCCTTCCCCCCAAGGCTCAGCTCTGGCACTCCTGGGCCCGTCACCCTCTCCTCTGACAGGAAGGAACTTGCACCATAAAGCTGAGTCTCAGACATCAGGACAGCCTGGCTCTTGTGTCCTAGGCCATGGGCCTCCAGCTGCCTGCAGCCCACAGGCTGGGTCCCTCCTCCCTCGTGGGGGTGGGGCAGGCATGCCAGCCGGCAGAGATCAGGACAAAAGCCCTATTGATTTTCTCCTTTTTCCGACTCCTGCCCTTGAAATCTGCCCTGGCCCCTGGGCTGTGGGAACTGATGGCAGAGACACCTGTCCCCAGTGACCAGTCCCCAGGGACCCAGAGACACCTGTCCCCAGTGTCCCCTGCAGACCGACATCCACACAGCAGGCCACAGAGGGCCACACAGACAGTCCTGTTCAAACTTAAGTTAGATCCTGTCCCTGCTCTGCTCAACAGTCCTCACCCCAGCCTGGCCTCATCACCTCACCCTCTCTCCTCTCTGCTAATCAGGAACAGAGCAAGCCTGAACCCGCGCCAGGGCCTTTGCACAGGACACGCCATCCGCCTGGGATATTCTGCCTCCAGGTATCCATGGGCTCCTTCCCTCCCTTTCCTCACTGCTCAAATGTCACCCCATCCCAGAGGCTGGCACTGACCATCTTATATAAAATAGAGCAAAGACACACACACACATACATGCGCACACGCACTCACACACACACACACACACACACACACACACACACACACACACACACACACTCCAGCAGTCTCTATCCCTCTTACCCTGTTTCATCCTCCCATTGCGCTTGTCACGTCCTAATGGAGTAGTCAGCCTTATCATCATCACGTCGACCGTCCCCCGCCTACAATGTCAGCTCCGTGGGGCAGGTTTTCTGTCTGTTTCAGTCACGGCTGCATCCCCAGCACAGAAACGGCACCCATGCACTGTAACCATTCAGTGAACGTGGAGTGAATGAATGAATGAATGAGTGAATAAGACAGGCCTTGCCTGGGGAGGCTTTGCCCACCCCAGGGCTCCGGCCACCTGCGGATCCTGGGTACCCTGGCCCAACCCCTGCCCTTGCCCCTCCCCCTCCCCTGCAGTCAGCCTTCGAGTCAGAGGTGTCTGAAATCAGCATCAGTCAGAACGAGGTTAACTTGGCGCTTAGGAACCTGCGGGCCTGGATGAAGGACGAGAAAGTGCCCACGAACCTGGTGAGTGACCCTGGGCGTCAGGGCCGCAGGCAGCCTCTCTGGGTGGCAGGTGGTGCTGAGGGGATGGGGTCTTGGCACCTCACCGTTCACCATCACTCTGGCCCCGACCCAGGCCACACAGCTGGACTCGGCCTTCATCCGGAAGGAGCCCTTCGGCCTGGTGCTCGTCATCGCCCCCCGGAACTACCCTCTGAACCTGAGCCTAGAGCCCCTGGTTGGCGCCCTCGCAGCAGGTGAGAGGGAACCACCCCTTCTCCCTCCACCCCCCCTGCCCATCCCCTCAGCCTCACAGCCGCACACAGAGCCAGGGAGGAGGGGGGAGCTGGCACCAGGTGGCTAAGAAGGCCTGGTTCCCATCTGGCCCACCATCCCCAGGCTGTGTGGCCTTGGGGCTGGCAGGGCACCTCTCTGAGCCATATTCTTCACCTGAAGGTGGAGTGAGGCTGGCACCTGCCCTGCAGGTGTGAGGACTGAATGGAGATGGGGAGTGGCTACAACTGGCCCCCCC